AGTTTGAAGTTTTAAGAAACAAACAAAAAGGACGTTGTTAGTTCTTTTGACTGAGATCTCCAACTGTATAGCTGGCTCTAAACATATTAGAATCTAGGCCTTAAAAGATGTCACTAGGGGCCGGGCACCAGTAGTTCACACCAATAATCCTAGCTATTCAGGAGGCTGAGATCTGAGGATCACCGTTCAAAGCCAGCCCAGGCAGGAAAGTCCATGAGACTCTTATCTCCAATTAACCACCAGAAAACTGGAAGTGTCACTGTAGCTCAAGGGATAGAGCACTTGCCTTGATCTGAAGGGCTGAGGGACAGCGCCCAGGCCCCAAGTTCAAGCCCCACGACCGACCCCCCCCAAAAATCACTAAGACAGAGTGTCTGTCTGCACCTAATTCCTACATCTCAGCTTTCTACCTTGTAGAATTGTAGTACAGCAAAACTCCCAGGGAAGGCTCTTACTGGCTCAGCTGTGTCATATGTTCATCTATGAGCCAATCTGTGACAATCAGGGCTGTGATTGGTCAGACTAGAATCATAAGCTGCTTCTACCATTGTATTGGGACTTACCTCCACAGGAGGAGAGGAGAAGGAAGGGGAGGAAGGGAGAGAGGAGGAAGGGGAGGAGGATGGGGAGGAGGAGGAGGAGGAGGGGGAGAAGCGGGAGGAGGAGGGAGAAAAGTAAAACAGGCTTTTGTGGAGTGGGTGTCAGCAGGGGGGAGGAGGGTGATGGAGAGGGCACAGGAGGGTGAACGTGGTCTAAGTACTTTCCGTGCAGAAGCATGGAACCTGCTGAAATGGCCCTGCAGACTTGTTGGAGGCACAGCAAAGGGATAATGACGGTGTCCTGCAGGGGGCGCCCTCCCGGGGGGGGCCCCCCTCTTTTGTTCTCTTGTCTTTTACAAGTGAGCAAGCGGAGGCTCACTTGCTCAGAACCCAGCAGCTAGAGACCCTGGGTTGAGTTTGCAGGAGATCCTCTCTCCCCACATTTCAAGCAGGAAGCTTACAGCCCTGGGGAGGCCGAAGGTGGACAGGTTGATGGCCATCCATTCAGAAGATGCTTTAGTCTCTGGAGCAGAGAAGCCTGTGGGGTCCCGTCGTGACCTGGGAGGGGGTCCTGCAGGAATCTGGGCCACAGAGGGGGAGTGGTGTGAACCGGAACAGCCAGGGTGGCCTCCTGGAGGCTGTGTTTTGGTGTTGTTTATTTAAAAAAATAGTCTTATTGAAATACAAGTCACATACCCACTCACCCACTTAAAGCGTGTAATTCAATGGGTTTTAGTCAAGCCATGGAATTGTGCAACCATCACCACAGTCAATTTTAGAACGTTTTCCTTATCCCCAAAGAAACCCTGTCACCATTGCCAGTTATTCTCCACTCTCTTCTCTCTCAAGCTTCTGGCAACCACTGATTAACTTTCCGTCTTTGTTCACTTGTCTATCCTGAACATTTCATAGCAGTGGAATATGGTCCTGTATGACTTGCTTCTTTCACTTAGCATGATTTCAAGGTTCATCCACAACACAGCCCGTCGTCGGTGCGTGTGCCTTTTTCATGGCCATGTAATATTCTACTGCGTGTCCAAACCACATTGTGCTTCTTCACCCTACTGTTGAGGACTGTGGGTTGTTCCCGCCTGATGTCTGTTATGAATAGGACTGATAGGAACAATCGTGTACTAGTTTTTGCCGGATGTGGTTTAGAATCCCAGGTGGGTTTGGTCAACACCTGAAGGCGTGTTGGATTGTCAGGAGGAGAGGGTGAGGAGAGGGGAGGGATATGAATGCTGCCACACACCCTACTACGCACAGAACAGCCCCCCAAATGAATTCCAGCGCCTGGGGTGCATTAGACTGCCTTAGGTTGGGGTGGGCTAGTGTTGGCTGAGACGCAGTCTCTCTGCAACATGTTCCGGGGGCAGTTCTGAGCGCCCGAGAGGAGGAGAGGAGGCCGGCCTTCCAGTTCCACCTGGGTGGCTCTGGTGGTTTTGCCCCTGTGGTTTCTCTCCCGACTTCCCGTCCAGGTGTGGTACCCAGCCCCAGTGGATTGGATGTCAGGCCTGATGGATGCCGAGCAGGCTGATAGGTGGTGAGCTCGCTGTCAGAAGAGGTATCCAAGGGATGCAGCCAGGCCTGAGGAGGAGGAGGTCTCCACCCAGAGGTCTGGGGCTCCAGGTCGGGGCAGGGAGGGAGGTCGGGGAGCTCTGGGCCTCCCCACCTGCCGGCCCTGACTGGGGCCAGGGCTGAACTTCCCCTTCAGGGGATCCGGC